CACTGTGTACTTTACATAAATTACCTAATTCTTAACAATTTTGTAGGATGTACTGTTACCTTTCCTATTTTACAAGTGAAGACGCTGAGACAAGAGAGGTTAAATTGACTTGCTATAAAGATATGCATTATAACCATTTCATTTATAGTTCAAAGAAAGCATTATGGAATTATACTAATATTTTGGAAATCTGTAATAGTTTTAATTTTGAGTTCACTCTTCAGTCTTTCCTGTAAGTATCTGTAGAATTACACAGTAATAACTGTTAATCCCATCGATAAAATTAAAAACTGGGCTTATTTTTAGATGGCTTTTTTGAAGAGGGGTCATGGCATTGTAAGTGGAATCATTCTTTTGTTGTTTGGTTATTATCTCAGACACTAAAATAAAAGACTAAAAAATTGTTAGGATGTAATAATCTTTAACTTACTATTAAGATTAATCGAAGTACATAAAATCATGTTACATTAGTACAGGTTTACAAGTAATTTGAAACATTTTCATGATTGTAGAAGTTTTTACAAGCTCGTTATATTATTACCAGTAGGGGTCCTGAGAAATGTAATGCTAGAAGAATTAGCACTCCTGTATCATGACTCACAGAGTCAAGTGAACGTTAGACCGAAAATTGGGTCTTCATAGTCAGCCAGCTTTGGAGCATGAGGATGAGCTTAGTTGTAGGCATCTACTGAATTTCAAGGTGCAGTGTAATATTGGCCTTCTCCAGAATCTCTTGTTTCATAGGTCTGCTTCAGAGTGCCAAGTTTCCTAGAAATGATGGTATCTTATTCAGTGCAGAGTAGAGTTTAAGTCATTTTTAGGATAAACTTTATTTCATTTATTAAAAGTAAACATAAATAATCCTTCTGAAAACCAGCTCCAAGGTTATCGCTCAATCTTACTGAAGGTAAGGCAACCACGTCTTACGCCTAGGTAACCTGTAAAGTAGCTGGCTGTTGAGACTTGCCTGCCCTACATGTGCCCTGTCTGATCTCCCACAAGATCCTCATTAGGCTACAGTCCCTTCCTAGGGCTGTTCTTGCCTCAGTTTTTCTTATGGCCCATTCTCTTAACTTCCTGCCATGACAGCAAACGTAGCTCTATTAGATTTGCAAATGAAGATCATGGGTCAGTGTAATTCTATGCCCAGAAAATTTAGCTATGGCTTCTTTTGATACATTTGTTTCTTACCCACTGTGCAATGCACTGTGATAGGTACTGCAGATGGTACATAGACAGGTAGTCGTAATCTGATAAAATCTGCTGGGTTCTTACTCGTGCCAGGCATTATTCTAATGTCTTAACTGTGTATTACCTCATCTGATTTTCACACTAACTACGTGAGCTAGGTACTGTTGTCATCTCCATTTTACAGGTAAGAAAACTGAGGCAGGAGTATATAAATTGCCCCAGGGAACGCATGGTAGATTTGGGTCACAAACCCAGGCAGTTCTGACTTTAGGACCTATACTCAGCCGTCAGATAATACTGCTTCTTACTCCTTTCTCTCAAGGAGCTCAGTTGACTTAAGTTATTAAGCCCTCCCGGAACTTCAGAGTTACACCACCTTTATAAAGGAGAGCGGAATGGACCCTGTGGCCAAGGCAGTTAGCACTCAGCAGTTTCCTAGTTTATATGTTGACTTTGATGTGATTCTAATTTTAGTATTATTTCTTTTCTGTGAAAATTCTGTAAGATTTGTCTTTAATAGACTTTTGGATGTTTAAGTGAAATGCTATAACTGTTATGTCAATAAATGGAATGCCCTAGTAGAGTTTTATTCAGTTAAGGTTTGATAAAAACAATTAGATGTCTAATTTCTCCCGGAAATCTTACAGCAGACTTTTTTGGTTCTGGGCTGGGTGGAGGTGGGCACGGACTTTAAAACCATTCTGAGATGACTGTAGGTAAAAGAAAGAGTAACATCACCATAGGTTTGATGTTCTCTCCTTTCACCAGAAGTTTTGTTTTGAGATGTGGCAGAGCAGAAACGTTGGTCATACTGATGAACTTGAGTTGTTCAAATGATTATCTTCAGTTCTGATTAGTTGAGCAAAAGTTTCAAGAGATTTCTTTAAAATTTTTAGTTCACAAATGATTTAAGAGTAGGTCAGCTCTAAGCAGTGAACATATTTCTAGAAGATTGGTGATGAAGTTGTTAATTGCAAAGATGAGGTAAAGACACACACTGTAAAGTGGAATTAGCAATTTGGACTGGCCAAACCACTGAGGATTCCACTCTGAGGCTGTTGAATCTCAGTATTGGAAAAATATCTAACAGTTCCTTAAAATTGTTTTAGTCCCACCCATAAGGATACAGTAATGCTTATAAAGCTGTCCACACTTTCTGATTTGACTAGCAGACAAGTTTCTTCTTAACAGTAAGGATTAATAAATTAGTGAGGGAAATGTATTAATACATAAGCTTAGGGTTATAATTCAGATCTGTAAAACCATTGGCTCACTAAATATTCTGCACTTTTATAATAGCAGCATTTTACTGATATAACAACATAGAATGGATTTCAGGAGATTTTGGTGTTCAGCAAGTCATATGAAGATAATTTTGAAAAATTCATTTGTATATTTTTGTTTTTATAAATTGATCATTTAAATACTGCATACATTATTTTTTGTTTTTAAAAATGTGTGTTTTAATACTGTGGGTTTCTTAATTCTTTTGGGAAATTGACATATTGTCAGGAATGCAGATTTAATTATTTCATGTGAAAGGCACGAATTCAATTTGAAATAACTTTTATTCAATGCAGAATGTTGGCAAAACTAGAGTTTTTCTAATTTCCTGTCTATATTTTTATAAATAAAATGCATTACTTTGGAATCTTAAAATTATTTTTCCATTTGGAAGTTATAGCATTCTCATAAAGTTTTTAAATAAATTGTTAACGATCTTGAACATGTATTGAATTTTGATTTAAAATAAAGCTAAGATTTGTTTTACATTGTGGCAAATATTTACATTTTAGAAAACAGACTTTGCCTGTATTTAGTCAATATTTTAAAAATAACTGAGTTTAGATACAGATAATCTTCTGCAGTATATTAAGGGAAGATGAAACTACATTCATAAATCCCCTTTTATCGTTATGGTAAAAATCATTTTAAAAACTTTAACCTTTATCTGTAGAAATGAATTGTGCAAAATAATATACATGTAACATTTACACTTTCTGGAACTGAAAAATACAGACTTCTATGTCATTTAAATTGGAGACTTTCTCTTCAGTCAATAGGCTTGATCATCATCTGAACTGCTCTCAAGGAGTATGACCCGCCTCGGTATTCGGCCCAGAATATCCCATCCTGGTGCTTGCTTCTGTAATGGCCTCCTCTGTACCACACTCCATTTAGGTTTGAATGTGCGCAGGCGTTGTACCACCATCCTCCTTTATGAAAGTGGGCACAGTTTCCTTGGAGGGAAAAATACAGACATCAGAGTAAAACTTTCTTCTAAGTGTGATGCTCTGTAAACCTTCAGTAACTTATTCTACCTCTAGAACAATTTGAGTTTTCTTACTGATTTCAGTTACTTATCTTCATAGTTTTGTGTCCTCGTTCACTCTGTTACTGTTGCTTAAGTATCAACTCCTTGAAAGATAATTTGAATTGCCTTTTTTATTTTGTCGTAGTACATGCTTTTTTTTTAAGTGATTTAGTTTTCTAGATAGCAGGGAAAATAAAATGCAAGCAGTATTTGTTTGTATGTGAAAGAGAAAAAAAGATTGGAGAGATTAGAGAAGGAAAGATGAGAAGTTGCTGAAGAGAGTAAAGTTTGGGGAAAACTGATTCTTGAAATAGCAAAAAAAATAACGTAAAAATAGCCTTATCAGCAATCAAATGAGTTACTGTAAGAAAAGCATATATTATGGTCATATCTGTCTTCCTTTTTCCCTCTTTTCCAGTGTGAACTAGAGAGCTGTGTGCTACTTGCCAAGACACAGCCGAACATAAAAATAAATCCGTTTTCAGGGGAATCTCTTTATCAGGGCCAGAAACCTGGGTTAAAAAGGCAAAAGTATATGAAAATTAAGTTTAAAATTATATCATGTGGATGGCCTAATTGGTTCTTTCTGAAGAGAATGTTAATTTGCCCTGTGAATGAAGCTTTTTGCTGTTCCTGTGTCATGTGCCGCAGTCGTCTTGCTGTTCCCCTTTACCAGGAAGTACAGAACGGCCCTCACCCCCGTTCCCCTACTGGCTTTACATTTTCCTAAAGTCCTTGTCACCACCTGACACGTCATTTTGTCTCCTTCTAGAAAGTAAGTTCCAAGAGGGCAGGACCTTTGTTCCCTGCGTATCCTCAGCACCTACAGCAGGGCCTGGCACATGGTAGGTGTCCAGTGGGATTCGTTACGAACTTCAGGCAGCTGGCAGCGTCATTTCCAGATGAGTTTGTTTTGTTTCCCACCTAGTCCCCATCCACCCCCACCCCATCCCCGCCAAGTTAGAGCAGTGGAACCTCATTCACAGAGTTCACACTTTGGGATTGCCTTAGACAAGAGCGCCTAGAGGCTGTTCCTTTCAGCACGTTGTGTTCCCTTTGACTGTGTCCCAAATGACCTTTTGAGAAAGATGTGTAGCAGCATATACTTTAATAACAGGGTTCTATTTGATGCATAGAAAGTGGTGCTTGTACAGAAAGCACACATCCGTTTTTCCTTACTCACCTGCATACATATCTTTATCTCTGTCCAGTGTGGTGAACTGTTTACCATTATGCCACATCATGGAATCCCCAGCGTTTCCCTGGTAAGTTCCCAGGCGCAGCCTATAGAATTCACTTTCAGGTTCCAGTCGAAAGCTGCTGTATTCTGCATAGACTTTTTTATCACTCCAGTCTTCTAGTTCAATCAACAGCTTATAATTATCTTGATTGCTAAGCTTGTAGATATTTTCCAGTCCAAGCCAATATTCTCCATCAGTGTTTCCAAATCCTTTCTGTTAGTAAGCAAAGAGCATGAGCACATGAATAAGTGTGGAGAGAATAAACTTTTTTGTAGATAACTTTTGAACATTAGATAGCATGAATATATTGGCCATTTGGTGGTAATGTGAACTTAATTTTTGTAGATCACCTGTTCTACTAAAGTCCCACGTAGTAACTTTGTTTTGTTTTGCTTTCTCTTGTATTTATTTGCACATCTAGCTTCAAACTCTACAACTGAGACAAAGGTAAAAGGGGCTGAAAATTATTCAGAGTGACATTAATTAGTGAACTACTCAGATCCTTGAAAAGCGTTCCTGATTTCTCTCGTACTCAAAAGCCAAATTTTTATTCTGAAAGTATATAGATACTGTCCCCACCATAATCAAACAAAAATGACCTGAACAGTTTTATGATATTCAGTGAAAATGATAGTAACTGTTTCACAACAGATTATCTTCTTTAGCTCTGTTGTAAATAAAAGAAGATATAACAGTAGTCTTCAAAGTTCCTTCTTTGAAAAATTAATGTTTGAAATATAGATTAATGTTTGGAAAAATGATAAATAAATTAGCTATCCTATTTCAGTAAGCATTTGCCATTGCAGGTATACAGCAGAATATAGATTTCTAACACTGAATGTACTTTCAAAGAGGTTGTGTTGCAGGATTTTTTTCCTAGTTATTTGTTTAGAAATTTGTGTAACTTCTCACATGGGTATATTAATGTCTCATTATTATAAACAATAATATAAAGTATCAGAGTTCCAAAAAATGACCCTAGGACTAATTACCTCTGATGAAATAAATACACTTGATAATGTGTACAGATGTAGTCATAAACAAAAAGGCAGTTGTCCTCTTAGAAAATGAAATCAGGAGTAGTCTTTGCAAAGAATTAAACGTATGTATAAGCATCCAGAACAAAAGGGAGCATTTAGAGACATCTTCAGTTCCCACTAGACGTTTTCACTTTGACTTTAAAATCAGAGACAAGAATCATCTTTTTGACAAATGTAATAATGAAAAGCACATGGATAGTTATTTTTCCACTGTGTATCTTATTTATTGCTTAGAATGGCTACTATTGCAAGAGCTGCTTTGTTCCGCCGCTCCCCCAGGTCTGAATCACTGATTTACCTTATAATTTTCCCAGTTTCTGAAGAAGTTGACAGAGCCATCTGTTCTTTTCTGAATAACAGTCCAACCCCCAGGATCCAGGCTGTTCTCACACCATAACTGCAGTGGTCCATTGCTGTTCTCAGGTTTGATCATGTAAATCCCGCTGACTGAATGTCCAGCTTCTTTTGCATGCTGACAGTCTTTGAATGGTCCTGTAATTAAAACATCATTGATTGCCAGGAAACTTAATGTGGAAAGAACCATATTCAAACAGTTTTTAGTCAGAGTCTTACTTTTGTATCTTTCCTTACAGATAGCGCTTTTTATCTACTGTGCACACGACGCTCTGAAGGTTAAAGAAATTAAATAAAAGGATTGTCCCAGTCCCACCGTCTGGAACATTAACTTGTTTCATTTTCCACTGTTCTCGCAAGTCTTTGTCCACATACATACATTTTTGTATTGTTATAATTCTTACACACTTAGAAAATTGAATTCTGTCTTTTTTTATTTTAACAAGCATTTCCATGGGACTACAATCTCCATTCTAGGGCTTAACAGTAGCTGTAATATACAGTCTTTGCCGTTGATGTATCATCGTTCATTCCTCTATCAATGGACGCTGAGGTTTTACCTGATTTTTGCTATTATAACACTGTACAAAGTGTCTTCTTATTGGCTTCATTTTTTTCATTTTTTTTAAAAAAATGCTGCAGGATTGATCTACTGGATCAAAACTGCATGGATAGTTTTACAGTTCTTCATAGTGCCCAGTTCACAGTTTCCAAAATTTGATTTCAGTGGAGCACACTAGTCCCGTGAGATAGTGAAAATGGCATTCCATGGTCAAGTCAGTTTTAGAATTGCTAAATATTATATTACCCTTTTGGAAACTCCCAATATACATTCACATCTTAAAGAGAAGCCCTGAAATAAACCAGTTTCCCAAACTTTTGGAATCTTTTAACTTTTTTCCCTCATACAGCAGTTCAGTAAGAATACATTTTAGGAATGTTGGCAAAATGCCGTTCTAAAGAGTTACATCAATTTATGTGACTAATAGTAATTTTCTTGTTTAATCTACACAGTGACCTTGTGATAGTTTACAGATGTTCTATGGAACTAACTGGTCTAAAGCTCTGTATCTTAGAAGATGATAAACCCTGGACTTAAACTCATTTCTTTCTAATCCCAGAGTTCATGCTCCGAACTGCTATTCTGCAGTTGTCCCCACATTATTTCCTATTTTTATTAATTTTCTCCCTATTTTTTAATCCACTAATAAGTTCTTCATATCTTTTAAAACGACAAACATTTTGTAAAATCATTTGTAGAGTGGCTGACTCTTGAATCATGATTTCCATGTTCTTTATCTAAAGAAAGATAGCTTCTAGTTTTGCTGAGCGTTCTTTAGTTTCACCCTTCTCGTGGTTTGATGCTTTCTTTTTTACAAGCATGGAAAAATACTAAGTGATTCAGAAATAAGAATTACCATAAAGATTTATCGGAACAACAACAACAAAAGCATAGAAATTTCAGTTGTCATATTTTATGTTTTACTAAAAATTTTTAAATCCTGACATGTATAATATTTAGAAATTATGTGAAAGTAGGGAGTTCAGTCGAGTGAAACTCAGACAAGAAAATCTGTACCGTAATGATGGGGCTGTTGAAATTTTGAGAAATGTGTTATCTGTACTGTGCCAAGCATAATACAAGGGTCCCTTTGGGGCTTTGCTGGGGTAGAATTAATCTCATTAAATAGTTATACAGTTACATCATTAGGAGGCATTCTTAGAGACTGTAAACTCTTCCCTCTAGATTATTCCTTGAGGGTGGAGACGACTTTTGTTTTCCTTCTGACTCCATGTCATCTGTGTTTTTACTATTAAGTAGGCTGTCAATTTTTCTTAAGCAAATGAATCAATTAATTTGCCTTCACATTTTAAATACAAGGAATTTGAGAACCACACACAAAGATCAGAGATGATATGTATCCCTAGTCCATATTTTTTATTATGCTTCATTGATATTTCTCTTTCAGATTTTTGAAAATCACAATACAGTCACTGTAAGCACTACAGATTACTAGTAAAAAAGTTAGTGGAAACTAGACATTCTTAATGCTGTCTTTCTTAGGTTATGTTTATTTTAGATATTAAATTTTTTAGTTCAAAATTTTCAATTTGATTCTTTTGTATAGCTTTGATTTCTCTTCTGAGATTTCCAATTTTACACTTATTATGAACATGTTTTCCTTTGAACTGTAATAACTACTTTAAAAATTCCTGTCCCTTTTATTCCTAGGTTGTTGAGATTTCTTACCATGAATGGATTTAGGATTTTGTCAAAGGCTTTTCGTTCGTCTACTGAGATGATGATATGGTTTTTGTTTTTTCATTTCTTAATATGATAAATTCTGCTAATTGTATTTTTAATGTTAAACCAGCCTTGTGTTCCAGGAAAACCTCAACTTGGTCATGGTATATTATCATTTTTATATATAGCGGGATTTGACTCGCTGAAATTTTGTTAAGAATTTATGCTTTTATATTCATGAGGATATTGGTTAGTTTTCGTTATTAGCTCATAAATAGTTTCTTAAGCTGGGGAGGACTATTCTAAAAATAATGTTTGCCCTTTTCAGGCTGGCCATAAATTAGATCACATTCCATTTAAATTCAGTGTGAATTATTTTTATATTATCTACCTTCTCAGTTAACTGAATTTAAATTACAAAGTGTTCAGAGCCTTTAACACAATGCTCAACAAAGTAATCATCATCCATAATTTAGTTCCCTTTTCTTCTTCCTTGCTGACCTTGATACACAGTAGTAATTTATTTAATAATTTAGGCAGCTTGTTTAATAAATGCATGTCTATTTAGTCAATAAATTTAATGTGGCTATTCAAAGATGAACCTACAGTCATTTCTGTTTTAGAAAAATAATGTGTTTCTGAAAAAACCCATGTTCTGAAAAATCATGCACTAAAAATAACAGCTAATGTTAGCTGTTAGCATGCTTGGTATTCAGCTGCAGTTGCTTGTGGCACAGAACATTTTATGTGCTTGGGGAAAATCCCATATAAACTAATATGACTGCTTTGTTTTACTGATCTTACTCTCTTTTTTTCACTAGTCACATATGAGCTACATCACATTACGGAAATGTGCATTGAACTCGAGTCAGAGAAGGTTAGAGAGGTTTATTTCAGACTAGGATGGGATTTATAGAGTTTTAATTTCCTAAGTTGGGAGTAAGATGAAAGGAAAAGTGAAGTTTGATTTCCAGGTCCAATCTTGGATTAATTTGTGTAATGCATTGTAACATATTTATTTGTTTACTCATAGAACTTCCCATGGACAAGGACTTTTTGTTTTTTGGTTGTGTATCCACAGTTTAACCCATTAGGCCCTCAAGTATCTGCTGACCTACGTGATTCCTGGCAGCCACAGTGGTTTCCTCAGTTCTGCATTATTATTCCCAGAAATGTCTTTTCTGTGCCTGGTGTAGACTGGAAACTGTTTTAGGCTCCAGGGATAAACCATAGATTCTGATGGCAAGTCTGGGAAGTGGCAGGAGAGAATCCACTGCAGCTTGATGAGTACTGTGGTGGAGTTACTAGTGGGGCACATAGGAGCTCTGGCCAAGAAGTGGCTAACCCAGATTTGTGGGCAAGAGATGGAGTCGGCTCCATCTCAGCTGAGTTGTGAAGACTGAGTAGGAGTGAGGCTAGTGGGCAGAGGAGGTCTGATCAGGGCCCCACATGTGCTGAGGCACGGAGACAGAGAAGAGAGCTCGGTGCTCTCGAGGAGTTACAAGTTCAGCATGTCCGAAATGTAAATGGTAGAAGGTGGTACTTGGAACTCTTGAGGTCGGCTGTAGGGTTGAAATTGGTTTCTGCAGTCTAAAAGTACAGTCATCGCGGTTGTTTACAAAGTCAGACAGATTTTTTTTCTAAGTTGTCACTTTTGGAATAGTCAAGGATATCTGAGGAATATTGCTCTTATTTTAAAACCTGTTTGTTGTAGTTAATGCACACATGAAGTGGTTTTATTGCAATGCATGTAAATATCTCTCTCCTTTCAGAAATATGCCTATTCATGAATGTCATCTTTGTAAATGTTTGCTCTGCACTCATTTGAGTATAGTTTTGACAGTTTACATTTTATGTTTGACTGTATAGTCATGAGTTGGACTTTAACTAGATTATTTAAATGGCTGTAAAATACAGAAGCGTCAAGGTTTTGAATGTTGACAGGAAATTTGTAAAATACCATTTGTTCCTTTTCTGCTCTTTAATAGGCCCTCAGATGTTTAAGCAAATTGAGGAGTTCTGGGTTTTTAGATCCAGCTTTGATTTGATACAATTTCAATTTATACAAATTTTAACTTCAACTTTAAGTTTCAACCCACTTTTTTACGGTGGGCTTCGTGTTTGCAGTGTGGACGCCTGTTGGAGTTGGTTGCGACAAAGGCTTAGGAAAATTTAGTTGAAATCTTTTTCCAAGAAATCTGGATAAAATTAGCAGTGCTTATAGCTATCTTTTCCTCCTCAGTAAAAATGGTAAGTAACAGAATTTAGTCCTTGTTTATATTTATTTGTAGAGACGAACCCTTAACCTGTCTTAGCCAAGTATGTACTGTTGATCTTGGCAGAAATGTTTCCTCATTCTTACTTGCATACCTTATTTACCATTTTAGAATTAAATTAGAGATCATTCTTATACTCAGTGTTTTACTGCTTTCTCTGTACCATAAAAAGACGCTTAGTAGGAATTCTTACATGACTAGTAGAAAAGTACAGCTTTGTTTTTGAGCGGTCAGTTTTAACTTGCTGGTTTGTGCATTATTAGAGATAAATTAATTGATTTATTTGATATGATATTTATATATGATTCAGAAATTTGTTCATAATGGTTCAGAAGGGTATGGACTGGAAGTACCTTTCTTTCAAAATAGGAATTTTATTAACTTTTTTCTTGCTTTGATAATCTTGAAACAGTCTTTGTCTTCTGTGACACACAATTGGATTCTTCTCAAGGCAGGAAAATGCAATTCTCGACATTGAATTTGAAGGATGAGTTCTCTTCCTCAATATATTTGATTATTAAAATGTGTATAGGGCTAACAACCCAGTTAATAGTCTGATTCATCATAGAAAGATAAATACTGACCAGTCATGCCACATATTTTGCAGCATGTATTTT